AGAAGAAAATAACCAATGAACTATTTAGATCGTTGGCTATCCAAGTGATATTTTTAAATGTAGGAGAAATTGAAAAACAACATTCTGTTGAATGATACTCTGTTCCAAATAATTGTTGTTTTTTTTTTTCAATTAATTGTTATTTTTTTAAAGATAAATAAATATTTTTTAATTTATTTTCATTATTATTTATTTATTTTAATTAATTATCTTATTAAAAATTTGACTTTAGCTTTTGATTTGTTCTTCAAAGTAATGTAAGTAAACATATGAATTTTTTCTAAATTTTTAATTTAAAAATAAAGAAAAAAAAATAACAATTATTTTGAAGATAGAGAGAGTATCATGTATCCTCTAAGCATACCTACATATTTGTCTAAAACTTCAGTTACAACAAAGAGACTCGAGTTTCAGAAAATTACAAATAAAAAAAATTAGTAACAAGACTTGCCACATTTGAGATTGCTGTATAATACTATAGTTTTTTTTTTTTTTTTCCTTCTTAGTAAAATCTGTGTTAGCATTTAATAGTTACTTTGAAGATGTGTTGTATGTATGTATAATTACTAATCTTTTTATTTTAAAATAATTACCGTTTATTAATTTTTTCAAAATTAAAGATTTACGAATAAGTTGTGTATTTATTTATATCATTTTAAAAAAAATTAAAAGATAAAATATAATTCTTTGTGATAAGATAATTAATTAAAATAAATAAATAATATAATTAAATGAGAAAAATATTTATTTACTTTAAAAAATAAAAAAATAACAATTAATTTAAGATAAATTCAAAGTCAAATAACAACAATAATTATTTTGGGATGGAGGGATTAATTATACAAAATGTTAAAATTAATTAATTTATAATATATGAGGAGTGATTTATTCACATATAAATTTTACATATTATACTTATATAAAATTTTAATTATTTATTATCTTATTAAAATAGTTATTTGTTTTTATTTAAAGGTAGAAATTGTGTTTAAATGCTTAATCTAAAAATAAAATTAAA